CCCTGAGAGGCTGAAGCTCCTGCAGTGGGTTTGCAAGGAAGTAAATCCCCAGATCCCACAATGGAACCTAGACTAGAAGTAATGTCTCCTCCCCGTGGAGAAGTGAATACAAAAACTCTCCAATGTCTCCAGGAGACTCACTCGAGGTAGGTGTCTCCTTATGGCATGGCAGCCATCCACACAGGCCGACTGAAGCTTCCTATTGCAGAAAGCCAACCTCCCATGTGGCTGGTTGTTTACACAATCTTATTTCTTCTCAACAAAGCAAACGCTCTGCTGCTGTGTGACTAGGAGCATGGGACTTGAGCTAAGAATAAAATGCAACTAGCCAGAAGAACATGGAGCCTGTCTGAGGCTCTGCATTTGGTGCTATTTCAGAGGCATCCTTTTGTGCCAGTGCAGGCAAAGCAGAGGAGAGAATTGCAGCTATTGCCAAAATACTTTCAGATTTAAAATATATTTTTTCCTGTAATTATCTGGATGCTTCGGATAAATCCAGGGGTAATTTTGGTTCAAATAGTCCTCACAATTGTCCCAACTCTCTCATACATGAATTCCCAGACACTGCTAAAATTACAAAGCGAGAGAAAGTTCTGTCAGCAAGCCGGCTTCAATTGCACAAAGTGCTGGGAAATGACATGCAGGGTTGGGGAGCTTCCCTGCTCCCCAGTCCAGCGAGGAGAGTAAAAGCAGAATGGCCCAAAGAAAAGGGAAAGACAGAACCTAGACATTTCCCAGCCAAGGAGTGTATCCCATGAGTACAAGAGGCTAGATTAGTTCTCATGTTTGAAAAGAAATGAACCAAGCATAAAAGGGAATGAAAAAAAATTACAACTGGATGTACATGCTTTCTAAAAAGTCATCTCAAAGTGACAAAAGTAATAGAAGAAAAGGGCAAAAAAAAAAAAAAGAAAAAGAAAAGAAAAAAGAAGAAGAAAAACCTTGAGAGTTAAGAGTTTATATTGCTTGCAACTAGGAGCGCCTTTGGCTATATACAGCTGAAATCCAGTTAACAGTATCTTAAAATATATACATATTTATTATAAATATCTCCTACTTAATGAGAAATCATTATAATTATATTAACTGTATCATTATTTACTAGCCCTCTATAGCGGCTAGTCTTTTGAACTCTTTGAGGCAAACACTTCAAAGAAAATATTTATATACGAGTGTGGTAGTTTAAGTAAGTGTGGTCCCCTAGGCTCATAAGTTTGATTTTTTGGTCCCTAGTTGGTAGAACTATTTGAGAAAGATTAGGAGGTACTGCTTTAGTGGAGGAACTGCATAATTTTCCAAAGAGAAAATAATTCTCAAATTATCTTTAAAAATCATATTAGAATATTACATCATTACCCTGTATCTTTCTCAAATTTTGCTTAACTTTGATAAAAAACAAATACATATTATCTTTCAGCTCATGCTGAACTGGAAATCCTCTTGCCCTGGTCTGCATAATAATAGGATTATGGACATGGGTAGCCATGCCAGATTCCTTCAAAGTCATTCTAGGCAATGACTTATCAATCTATGTCCTCGTAAAGTTAGTCACTGAACAGGGAGAGAACAAGCTGAGGTCTGAGAGAAGCTTAAATAGACAGCCACAGCTGTGAGCCAATCCTAAAAAGAATGTTTTAGGGCCCCACGGGCCCCACAGTGAGGTGGGGCAGAGTTTCAATAGCTTGAACATGGAGTATGGTGGTTGTGCGACTAAGCCCAGGGTAAAGAAGCAGAGGCTGTGGTGGAAGGGCCATGCTCAGAGGCTTCTAGAAACGGTGACAAAATAGACACAAATAAGTAAAACAACTCTCAGAACATAGGTGTCAGCCACTGATGGTTAGTGATCACCTGGCAACAGAAAACAAGTGAGGGCACCAGAGGACTGTCTGGAGCATCGGCTGGGTTGCCATGCTGAGTGGAGGAACTCAGGTCACCTTGGGAGGAGCTGGGGCTGGACGTGGGGGGGGGCAGGCAGTGAGAATGTCTGGGGATGTGCAGTGTCTCCCACTTTCAAAGAAACCAGCCAAAGGAAACACACACACACACACACACACACACACACACACACACACACAGGACATGGACAAGGAGAGCCCACAACTCATAAGGATGGGAGGAGCCCAACAGCCAGAGGGGGAGAGCTTGTCCTCCTCAGCTGTGAGCTATCAGTTAAGCAAGAAAAATCATACTTCCAAAGTGGAAATTTTAACTAGACTGAAGCCAGTTTGGTGCCGTCTGACAAAACTGAATTTCAACATGCAAAGTGAAAACTCTGGGAAGAACAAAGCTTACAAGTTTTAGGGACATACACACAATTGTCTAAGGGACAACAAAGTAAAAGTACCTGGATGACAGTACCTGCCATCCAAGATTATGAGACATACGGAGAAGCAGAGTAATGCAGGTCATCGTGTGGGAGAAAATCAATCCAAACACAGCAATCACATGGATGACAGCAGTTATTAATAATGCATATCCAGCTGGGCCTGATAGCACCAGCCTGAAATTCTAGGACATGATTGACTGAAACAATTATTGAGAGTTCAAGGCCAGCTTAGACTACATGGTGAGAACCTATTTCAAATGCCAAAATAATAGCCATAATAGCAGCAACAGTGTGTTAAAAACCTAGAATTAAAAATTTGACATGATGGATATTAAAGAGACCCCACACTGAAATCCTAAAGATGGAAGTTACATTGTCTAAGGTGCAAAAACCACTGGATAAAACTGAAAGGATCAAAAAAGATGAAGTAGCTAAAGAAGTAACAATAGGAACTGCCCAAAATAGAAAAGAGCAAAACAAACTAGACTGACAGTGAACCGTGGGACAGAACTCACGTCACTTGGTCATTTAGAGTTTATTGCCCCATGAGAAATGATTGCTGACATCAACAGTGACTTATCAATCAATGCAGAGTTAGTCACGGCAGGAGCTGGAAACAAGGTGGGGTCTAGGAGAAGCTGGAGCGGAGGGGATCTTAGAATGGAAATTCACCTACAGAACAGCATGTGCTGTGACATTTGGGTGAGTCTCGGCTGAAAAGTACTGGATAAATAAAAACATTAAAGGCAGAAAAAAAGGGAAAGAGAAGCTATTGTGGAACTGGACTAGAAATGCAAACAACTGTGCGTGGGAAAGGAAGGGAGGGAGGATCAGGAATGTTGGGAAGGAGGAAAGAAATGGAGGAAAGAAATAGAAAGGATGAGGAGGGAGGATTGTCAGAAACAAGCTTACAGAGGCCCAGGAGTCATGTACCTACGTCTTATGGATTCATGGATGTATATGTGTATCCAAGGAAAATTTTTCCAAACATTCCAAGCTTCTCAGTATATTTTAATATTTGAGAAAAGCTATGAAAATAAACAATCATGTATATAAGTAAATCAGAGAAGTTGACTCTGGAACAAAGGAGAGAGCTGGCAGCAGCTAAGAGATGCTGCTTTGAGTGACACTGGTTGTTTGTTGAGGGGTGGTGGTGTTCCTATGAGCTGAGCAAACTACAGGAGGGAGGGGCTAGTTGATAGGATGATATCAAGGGAGAATGACAGCATGCTAGGAGCCCATGTCCAAAAGATGCAGCTTGCACTACAAGGAAGAGGACAGGACATTAGTGGTAACAGTGGACACACAGCTCCTTGACTTTATTTTCCAAACGCTGAAGGGAAAAGTTCTTGTTCTCAAGCATCAGCAGCAGAAAGTGAGTTAGTTAATCAGATTCGCACAGACTCCCCTGCTCAAAAGCGGTGTCTCCCTTGGGCATGCTTTCTCCCAGATCCTGCGACTCCTCCTAAGCCCACGCTTTAACCGCTGTGAATCTCTGGTTCACTAGAAAAATAAGATTACTTTCTTGAACAGCGGCGTGTGCCTTCCTCCTTATCAGAGGGGGGCCCGCGCTAGATGCCTGGCTCTTTTATCAAAGGTCCTCATGTGGGCACGAGAGCAGCCCTGACAGCCTGGTGTTTATGGCCCCGCTGCAGGTTTCTGACACATGGAAAGTGAAGTCTAGCCGCGGGGGATATTGGTGTTCAAATCTATCATTTGATCACAGTCCCTCTATCTCTAAATGACAGCTAATTTAGCAATGTTTAAACAACACACAAAGTGGCACTTGAACGAAATTTATTTTAGCCTTAAAATGACGCGTGAACTCCACTTGAGCAACGTACCGTTTTACTTTGAAGCAAACTGGCAGGGGGGCGTTAACTCAAGCGTGCCGTGCGAAATCCCCGTCTGGTTAAAACCATTTCAACTTCGTTCATAACTACTCGGCAGGTTTAACTGCCGAGCGCCCTGCTGTTGGTCTTTCAATGTGTCCCATTTCAATCGGAAGGCGTTGACGGAGCCCACACAGAACTTTACCAGGCTGGCAGCCTGGGGCGCGAGGGCTGGAGCTGGGGCTGCCCCCGGAACCACAGTACCTCCCTGGGCCGGCGGGCTCCCATTGGCCGCCTCGGGGGGAGTTTCTGGCCTGGCCTCAGCCTGGCTAGCCGCGCTGCGGGGAGGGTCCAGCTTTTAGGGACACGGGGAAGCCAGTAGATCGAGGCCGCCCTGACTCCTGCCCCCTGCCCCGGGCGCGGGAAAACCCTTGCCTGGCTGCCTCCCTCGCGCAGTTGTCGCCGGGGGGGGGGGGGGGCAGAGATGCTCCCCAAGTACAGGATTCCGGTCCCCACAGCCCCACGCGCGGACGGCAAGCAGTTCCCTCCACAGGCGACCGAGAAGGTCCCCTCTGCGCCTCTCCCTGGCGGGACTCGACGGGGAGGAGGAGAGCGGGCTCCGAGGGATCCTGGCTCCCGGCTGTGCCCGTCCCTCCGCGGAGAAGTGGGGTGTGGGCGGCTCCACACGCCGCCACCCGAGCGGCGGTAGCGCCAGCCTCCTCCCCCGCCACTGGGGGCGGGCAGCGGCGGTGGGAGTCGCCCGGGCGTGACTGCCCCGAGGCCCCTCCTGCCGCGACAAGGATGCTCCATAAAAGCCCGGTGGCGACCGGTTCTCCGCATCCCACCGGTGGCTCCCATCCCTCATCCCTCGGAGAGGCGCCCGCAGCAGAGACCCGCCGCGCAGGGACGCCAGCCCGCCAGCCACGGTGAGTGCCAGGGCCAGCTGGGACAGGGGCACGGGCTCCCAGACGCCCAGGAACTTGCTCGGCAGCCGGTCCCCAGAGCCTGCTCTGCCAGCTTCGCTCCCAGCCCTTTTTGGCGGCTAAATTCCGCGGGCCGGACTCTGTCCCTCCTGCCCACCTGCGCTTCCCCGGGACCCTTCCTGGTGGGGCGGCCCACCTCCGTCTCCGTTATCTTTTGAGGGCGTGGAGAAGAGCATGGGGGTCCCATCCCGAGACAGTGGTGGGGTTTTTTGTTGTTTTTTTTTTTCTTTCTTTGGTTGGTTGGTTGGTTGCAACCAGGAACCCCAAGTACTGTCCCTGTCGTTGGGGAGCCCCGCGCCCTGTTACCTCCAGGATCCGAACTGAGCCTATGGGCTCCCTTTCCGGGCCCTGTTGCCACACCCTGGGTGTCTGTCACAGCGCCTGTAGCCACACAGATCAAAGGCGACCCTGAGGAAAAGTTTTCTCCTCTAGGGCTGAGTTAGAAAAGGCAGAAGAAAAGTGGTCCGTGCTTTAAGATAGAAGGCAGAACTTCCAGTTCTGTGCTGAAAAGAGGACCTCTGCCCTCTGCCTCTCACCAGGCGACTTGGAGGGAAGTTTCCTGAAATACGGAGCGGAGGGGCGGGGTGGGGCAGATGACCCGCTAAAGGTCTGGAAGTGGCGCCTGCCCAATCCGGGGCTTTTTTCCTGGGGTCTGGGATGGGAACAGATGAGGGTTGAGAGTGGTGGCGCGAACGGGGACTCAGGAGGACATCCCTCGGCATCCCCAATACTGAGCGCCTTCTGTATCCGCAGATGCTAGGTAGCAAGCGAGTGGGGCTGTGTGGACTGACCCTGGCTCTGTCCCTACTCGTGTGTTTGGGCATGCTGGCTGAGGGGTACCCCTCCAAGCCGGACAATCCAGGCGAGGACGCACCAGCGGAGGACATGGCCAGGTACTACTCGGCTCTGCGACACTACATCAACCTCATCACCAGGCAGAGGTGGGTAACCCCAGGCTGGTACCTGGAGGCCGGAAAAACTGTGGTTCTGGGGACCTTGGACAGCAGCGACAATTTCTTTCTCCTTGTTCTGTCCCAGCGTAGGGAAGGATCCGGTATAAATTCAGCTCTAGATAAGTGTGTGAGCAGGAAAACACGCTACACAGACTGGATACCTTCTCTGTTCTCTTTGTCATTAGTTACTCTTCAAGCCCTGAGCCCAAGATTCAGTGCCTCTGGGCTGTGTCTCCTCACCCACCTCTTCAGGCTTTTTTTTTGCTTTTCAGGGTTGGAGGGGGGGGGCGCTATCCAACAGGTTCCTTGGGGAAGGGCCTGCCGCAGGAGCAGGGGTGCAGAAAGAAGAGTAAACAGCCCCCACCAAAGAAAACCAGGGACACAGCGCAGCTGTCAAAAAGGTGGAGCTCTTCCAGCCTGGCCAGAGCAGCACTTAGGAAACGAACAGACAGAACCATAGCTTTCTTCTTTTTCTGAGCCATCTCAGCCTCACACTTGAAAATTCCTAGATGGTCTTAAAACGTGACTTTTCCATTTTATAGCAAGTTAGTTCTGAAAAGAAAGTGCTCAGATTTTTGTCTTTTAAGAAGAAACAAAGCAAAACCCTTCACATTAGTGACTCTGGTGGATACATCCCCCACTGCCTGGGACCTGAGAGACAGTGCTTTTTATTTTCAGTGCTCAGAAAGTAAAAAAGAGGTGTCTTTCATTTTCTCTCAGTATTAAAGTCAAGCAAATAAATAAATGCAGGCTATTTTATGAATGATGTGGGGCTTAAGTTTGCAAAGTCGGTGCATGTTAGTTCTAAATCATTTAACAACACATTCTAATTACTGAGAACCTTGGAACACTATATAGGCAAGCTCCTTGGAAGCATTAATGTTCTTTACTTAGCATGTTTCAATTATGCGTAGTAAATTACCAGAGGGAGGTTAAACTGCTCATCACCCAGGGGATGAGCTACACAAGGGAGCTGTGCTCCCGAAACAGCTGCCTACTCTTAATTTCAGCAGTAAGGTGTGTGGCATTCTGAAAGCCTTCTAGGGAAAACAATCCCAAAGTATACAGAATCACTTAAGTAATAGTGGCTCACAATCTTTTGAAATCTGACCATTTTGACTAGAAAAAAAAGCTATTGCGTTTTTGAGCCTAATAGACTGACTTCCCAGAAAGTCAATGACTTCATTTTTTTTTTTTTAACTTCATGGAGTTCAAAGCAATTACAATGATACCAACAAACCAACCAACAAACATAGAAATTTTATTTAGCTACAACATATACAACTCATTTTGCAAAGGTTGCTGCTGTATAGCTTTGCCACACTGTATAGAATGATCCCATTTCATGTTTCCCTAGCCATCTCATTCAGTTGTTTCCTCAAAAGTTTGAAGTGATTTTAACTGTCTCTACTTTGCAGGTCATAAAACTAAGGACACCTTAAAAAAGCTTGCTTAGGGTTATGGAATTGGAACCTTCTACCAGTTTTCCTTGGATGGGGCCACCTCACCAACATTCAATGTAATCACTACCATCTTTGAGGGAAAAAATAGGGAAAGGGGCTTGCACACCATGGGAAGAAAATTGGGTTCTATGAGGATGAGCTGGTGCCTAAGGCAACTTACTGTATCACCTTGGTAACAGCTTTTCTTAGAAGCCCTACTGTGCACTCCTTGACTTCCCACCAAAGCCCCACAGGCATAAGTCCACACCTCTGAAAATCACCGTGTCATCTGTGACTGTTTTATCTGTAATTATTCTCTTCCTTCCTCCCGTCAGTCCTGTTGGTAGCTGTTTGCTTGTTGCAGTACATGCTGCTGATCCATTGCTCCTGCAGGCCAAATTCCTTATTCTGGTCTATCAATCTATACCTCCTGTTTGTATGGTTCCATAGAACACGAGTTCTCGGGGAGAGGGGTGATTTTATACTCCCTGGGACATGGGGTAACATTGGGGGAGACTGTTTTGTTGACATGCTGTCCTCACTGTATCCTCCTATAGGCAGGACACACAGAACTGTTTCTTTGGGCCAGTGGGACTTCTTCATGACTCAGGGAAGGAATGATTGCTTCCAATGGATAGGGGGAGAGGCAACACGCGGGGTATGTTGGGAGCTGTGAGGGGGAGCAGCGCTGATGAAGAGGTCGTGGTAGTGCTCTGGCGGGGAGTTGTGAGGGTGGAGCAGTAAGGATGGAGAAGTGGGGTTGCAGCATCCACTGTACTTGAGCTTTGTCTCTCTTGAAACATTGCTTCACAGTAGTTCTCCGCCGATGCTGATGTAGCCATGGCTTTTTAGTTCTACCGGTTTACACATAAATTCAAAGACTCGTGTGGGCCTAAAGCATCATGATTCTGGGTGTCTCCCCCCCCCAGAACTATTTCTGAATGTCATTTTATCTCTTTGTTAAGATTTAAACCGTTGTGGTGCTTCAGAACTATACCCAATCAACTTATTATGGAAACATCTTAAAATCATGTTTCACTGATTGTTTTAAAATTTCCTGTCAGAAAGTTGTAAAAAAAAATATTTACAAGGAACATTATCTACACTAACCAGGTTGTATTTATATTTTTAGGTACACACACACATACCACCACCACCACCAACAACAATTATTAGGTAAAAGGGGTCCATGAATTTGAAACAGATCTGGGAAAGGACTACAGGAGGGAGTCTGTACGAAAAAGGGGACAAATAATGTAATTATAGTATAATCTGAAAAATTAAATATTTGTGAAGTACTTCAGAAAAATTGAGTATTTATAACTTTTAAATTGTATTTGGGGTGTGTGTGTGTGTGTATGTGTGATGTTTGCATGCAGATATCTGCAAACAGACGTCAAAGGACAGTTTTCCAGACTTGATTCTCTACTAAATCTATAACTTCCTCTTTGGCGTCTGGGGATTGAACTCCGTCACCAGTCTTACGTGGCAAGCACTCTTACCCTCTGGACCATCTCTTCTCACCAGTTTGTATCCGTCTGTATGTGTGTGTGTGTGTGTGTGTGTGTGTGTGTGTTTATATGTATGTGTGCGTGGTTATGATAAAGTTGCTGATGACATATGCTCCACACTCTGAGACTCCTTATCAGCATACGGACAACTGGAAACACTGTTTTGCTTTAGCAGGATACTCCCCTCCTCTCTCCTACCCCTATCTAGAGCTTCCTTCTAAAACCCTCAATTTCACTTTCTTCTTGTTTCAGATATGGCAAGAGATCTAGCCCCGAGACACTGGTTTCAGACCTTCTAATGAGAGAAAGCACAGAAAATGTCCCCAGAACAAGGTATGACAGGGCTTGGGGGTAGAGGCATTGCTACAGAGCTTAAGATGTGGGGTGAAGGGGGGTGTGTGTGGAAGAAAGCAGGTGGGAGTCCCTGTGAATGCTAGGATGGAAGCAGCCAGAGGAGAGAGGTAAGGACAGAGATGGAGGTGGACAGCCAGGTGGGAAAGACCTTGCCTTTCATGCGTTCACTGGCAAACCCCAGCCTCTAGGGCACAGTGTTTTCTGATGTATATCATGTGGCGTTCCTTCCTAAGTATGAGGGACTTTTAGCTCAGGAATCACACTGTATAGCTCGACTTGCCCCATTAAAGAGAGCAAGCCCCCAGCTCCAAATTGAAATGACCAATCAACCCTTTGGACTGAGGTTTCACACACTAGGTGGCGTGCCCAGATCTCCCAGAGCCCATGTCCCACCTGTGTTTGACTCTTCCTTTCCTGGCTTTGCCCCAAACTGGAGATAAGTCAGGTGATCCTGGCTACTTTCTGATGTATTTTCGTTCAGTATACTGATTTACTTTACTCTATGAATTACTGTTGGGTAATGGATCAGTCGTAGGTGCTTGTCTGTAGTCTGGAAGCTTCTTGGAGGACAGATCTGTCTTGAGACAGGAGTCCACTCCCATCTAAGGGTTCATCATTGGGCTACATAGGGAGCTCCTGGACAAGGAAGGGGTACTGCTGATAGAGGCCGAATCTGCCTCCATTTCCTAACCTTACCCTGCCCTGCTGAGCTTGCCTCCTGCTCACGGCACACCACACCAGTCCTATTGCACCCCAGCAGCTACCTAGCTCCCCTGAGACCCAGAACTCTACACAGTCAAAAACCATGTTCCCCAGAAGAGGTCACTAGCACGCTTGCTCAGTGAGTATGACTGGAGTGTCGCTTTTCATGAAGGGTCCCCCTGGAGAGCTCAGGGGCGGCAGCAAGACCACCCACCCTCCCTCAGTGCTCATTCAGTTCTACTATGGAATGACCAACCAGGTAGTTTCTCTGAGGTGAGCAATCATTTGAACGGGAATAAAGTCCAGTACTTCTGTCCCTTCTGTCCTGTCAACCTAGACTTAACCAGTGAATGCTAGGGGTGGTGGGAAATTGATCAGCGTTGTTTTTGATACTGAACAATAAGCATATTTTCGTGTCTCATTGATATGCATGGGATATTTGCCATAGTAAAAGTTGAGGGTGGGCTACGTACACTTGGGATTTGGAAATAACGATCCAGACCTACTTAGAACTCTGCTGCTTGCTTTGTTTTGTAGCCCGAAATAACATAGTTAGTGCAGGAAATAAAGTTAATTGCACCCTGACTGGCAGACTCAATCATGTGCAATTAGAAGGAGACAAAAGTTGATAGCCTTGGAGTTGCATGTGAATGCTGTTTTATTAAAAGGGGCTCTTTATAGTCTAATAAATAGCATCTCACTACATAAAAGGCTTGCTGGAAGACAACGGAAGCATATTCAGAGTTGAATAACACTAACTTTCTTGTTATAGTTTCATGTGATTCCCATAGTTTTGATCTTCAGAAGTACTTCAGGGTCCCTCAGCTCCTTTGATACTCACAGGACCTTCTTAGTACTCCCCGAGAGGTTCCAGTTCCCGTGGCAAAAGCTGATGAAGTGGGTCTTCGTTATGCTGCTGCTGCCTGTGGCCTCTTTCTGAGAATGCCAGAGGAGGCTTCACAATGGCTTTTGATCATCCTGCAGCTTAGGACTGAGAGTCTCTCTCTTGTAAGACCCTGGGGATCTGGGCAGCCACTCTTCCAAGATTTGCTTCTTGTGTTTTACAGGCTTGAAGACCCTTCCATGTGGTGATGGGAAATGAAGTGTACTCTCCCGACTTTTCCTGTTTTCCATCCACGTCTCTTCTCATCCTGTGACACCAATCTGCCCCACCAATGCATGCAGCCACCAGGGCTGGATTCTGCATCGTTTTCCTTGTCATTGTATATATGTGTGTTTAAATAAAGTATCATGCATTCAAAAATGTATCCTCCTCGGTGAATATTCTGTTATCACAATAGAAAGGATTAGGTTATTCATTAAATTATAATTAGCCTCAAGTAAGAAACTCAGCATTTGTTTCACCAATATTAAAGTAATGGCCATGAAAAGAAAATAACTATGCTGTCATTGGATTTATATCTCAGAACTGTGTACAGAATGTCTCATATCCCTCTAATAGAGCAGTCATGAGAGGCTGATGGACACCTGGTATGACTAATAAAATAAGCAGTAGAGTTTTACAATTCATGCAATGTAAGCTCATTTTGATAGCCATGTGTTGCTGGCAGCCAGCACATCACACAAAGCAGCTAAAGTCTATGCATGGATTGAGGTCACACTTTGAATATATGAGTCATAACCACATTTTAAAGATCACCTGAACAGGGTGATCACCTCACACAACATCCCCCATTCCCCTTACTAGGGAACCCACAACAAGACCAAAGACCAAGTTGCTCATTGGGTACATACGTGTA